GACGACAGTGTCCGTAAACGGCTGTGGCTGTTCTCACAGATGCTGATCATTGTTGGGGGGGAGGGTATGTGGGGTTCTGGAATAGGAAAAATGCCATGCTGCCCTTCAGGAGGGTCTTCAGAGTGAGCCCTGGTGAGTGAGCAGTGGCTTGTGGGTCTTCAGATGGTGCAAAGTGTGTCAGCAGTCATAGTTACTCATAACATCAGATAGGGCAAGAACATGAGTCAAACTTCAGCACTGTATCCCTAGGGATGTCATATAAACACATGTAGGACCACTAGGCCCCAGTTCAAGAGGAACAGAGACTGTGACTCTAAGTGTCTTGTGAGGAAACTTCCAGAAGGATCTCTTAAAACAAACAGAAGGCGTGGGAATTGGGCACTGAAGATGGAGAGATTGGCCTGCCCACAGGGATGCGTTTCCACCCTCGTGGCTCCACCCACCTAGCTGGGCTCCTAGCAACATCACCAGCACCAGTTCCACGGGCAGACAGTGGGAGACTGAGCCACATACTTTAGGGCCTCACAGGCCCCAGCTGCTTAGCACCCTAGACACTGGGCCTCAGGAGGGCAACCTCCCAGCTCTGCTAGTGTTGCTCTCCGGAGTCTAAGTCTAAATGACTGACAGCCAGCACGGCTCAGAGGAATGCAGCCAAAAACGACACAGGGTAAGGAGCAGAGGAGGCAAAGCCAAAAACCAAAATCAGGCCATGGGAGCCCTTTTCTGTTCATCCTGCTAGTGGATCCTCGTTTCTCCTCCAGACCTGTCTCATGGCTGTGGGACGGTGCCCTGCACAACCCCGACTGGGAACAGGCTCTCACACCCTGGCCTGCCCTTGATGGGAAGCCAACAGGAATGGAGCCCATCGGAAGAGCACATCTCCGAGGAGATGGGAGCCCTTAGTGGTGAACTCAGGGATAACTGGCAATGGGTTTCTACACCAGCTCAGCTCAGCCCGGGTTTGCCTTCATTCTCCGTGGGCCCAGCCTCCTCCAGTCAGGGGCATGGCACCACATTCTCAGACAAGCTCAGCAGCAATGTCCTCTTGCATTTTCTAGATGACGAAGCTGGGTCAATGGTCATTTCCAAGACACCCAGGGGATCCTCCCAACAGATTTTTGTAGGTATGATTTAAAATAAAATATACTCTCTCACAAGTTTCCATTTTCCAAGCTGAAAAGAGTCCTAGAGACACTGGGTGACACCTACTTCCACCATGAGGTGAGCATGGGGGCCCTTAGGCCACACCCAGAAAACAGTTTGCTGGGCACATTCTGTGTAGTGTGTTTCAACAATGGAAAAAAAGAAAAGAAAAATAATAGACATATATACGTGTGTGTGTGTGTGTGTGTGTGTGTGTGTGTGTGTGTGTGTGTGTGTAGTAGGTTCTAAATTAATGCATCTTTAAAATTCAGATGCAGCCCGCTCTGTAAAATTTAGAAATTCCACCACAAATTCCACCTCCACCCTGATTGGAAGGGCACAGTTACTTGTGTGTGTGTGTGTGTGTGTGTGTGTGTGTGTGTCCATGCCATAGTGCATATCCAGAGGTCAGAAGAGAACCTGTCGGGGGCGGGGGGTCAGTTCTCTCCTTCCACTCCTTGGGGAGTGAACTCCGTCTTCAGGCAAGCACCTGTACTTGCTAAGTCTTCTTGCCAGCCCTCTCAGAGTACGATTCTGAGTGTTAACAAATGTTACTTCCACACTTGTGCTATGGAACATTCTGGTGACCTACAGCCACCCTCTTCCCCATTAGTACTCGGTCTTCCTCTTTGACTGTGGACTGGTCTTCTGACTCTTTTCCTAAGTTTGACACTGATAGCACAGGTCTGTATCATCCCAGCACACAAGAAGTGGAGGCAGGAGGATTGCCTTGAGATCACAGCCAGCCTGGGCCTCATAGTGATTTCCAGAACAGCAGAACAGTCAGGGATAGAGAGAGAGACTGTCTCAAAACAACAACAACAACAACAACAAAGCAAACCAAAACCCAAAAACCAAAAACAGGACATGAAGCTGGGAGATTTTGAGGAGGACTTTGGGGAGATTTGAAGGGAACTGGGGTGAAAGGAAGGGATGGCTCAGCAGTTAAGAAGCATTTATTTATTTATTTATTTATTTATTTATTTGTCTTTTGGTTTTTCGAGATAGGGTTTCTCTGTGTAGCCCTGGCTGTCCTGGAACTTACTCTGTAGACCAGGCTGGTCTTGAACTCAGAAATCCTCCTGCCTCTGCCTCCCAAGTGCTGGGATTAAAGGCATGCGCCACCACTGCCTGGCTTGTTTTTAATTTTTTAAAAAGATTTATTTGGGGCTGCAGAGATGGCTCAGTGGTTAAGAGCAGTGACTGCTCTTCCAAGGTCCTGAGTTCAATTTCCCGCAACCACATGGTGGCTCACAACCGTCTGCAATGGGGCCTGATGCCCTCTTCTGGTGTGTCTGAAGAGAGCAATGGTGTACATTTATGTACATATTATGTACATATACATAAAATAAATAAATAAATTCTTTTAAAACAAGATTTATTTGCATAGATGCACACCTCTGGCCTCGATGAGCATCTTCACTCATTAGCACATTCCCACACACAGATACACACATACAATTTCCAAAAAAAAAATTGTATGGAACTTTCAAAGAATAAAAAGTTTTGTGGGCTCTTTGTTTTTTGTTTTTTTTTTTTTTTGGTTTGGTTTTGGTTTTTAGTTTGTTTGTTTTCAATCAGCAAAAAAGCCCCTAAGCCAAGCCCTTCTGACCATCTGGCCTGCATGGGACCTGAGAAAACAGCAGAGGTCACAGGAGTTCTGCTCACTGCTCCCCTGTATGCCACTCAGTCCGTGAGATGTTAGTTTATAATCCCAATCTCAGCACCACACAAGGCTCTGGAGATTCCAGGGGACCAGATCTGCATCCAGAGGCCACAGCAGGCACCTCCTCATCTCTCATCAGGAGAGTCTATGAAGTAGCAACAGCGCCCCCTGCTTGCAAAAAATCGCTTTCCTTTTTCTTTTTTCCTCTCTTTTCCTTTCTTTTTTTCGACTTTCTCCCCAAAACCTGATGACCAGAATCCCCCGGGCACGCCCCCTCACGCTTTGTCTATGTAAGCCTCGGTTTCCTTCAGGATCCACTCCCATGTTGTTGTAACTATGAAGGGCCACTTATAACAGGCTCTCGCTCTCTGTGGGAACAACCCAGGCTCTTGTTCTATACATGAACAGAGATCTTAGGACTCCTATGCCAATACTTCCAAACGACACAAGTCAAGCCCAGGAGCAGGCTGATGTAACTGACGCAGAGTTTATCATGTGCTGAGGGAGTGGCTGGCTTTGGAGCTGCTGTCACTCTGGAGCCCTGAGACAGGCTATCCTGCCTTTGACACACACAAGGCTCCATCTTCACCTCTCAAGACCTGCGCCCTTGGGGACACTCTGTCACTTTCCAGAGTCCCATTTTCTACCTTGTTTAGAGGTGGAAGTAAAACCCACTCTGGAGAAGAATGTTCTTATGGGGGCCCCCAGGGGCCCTGCAGACATTTCTCTGAGCATTACCAACGTCTCCAACTCTTCTGGGAGTCCCTGAGAAGGGAGCAGAGTGGGGATGGAGTGTGGTCACCCGCATGCCACCCTCCAACCCTATTTGGGGAACTCCTCAGTGAAGCCTCTGCCAACCTCCCCGGTACCCCACATTTATTACGGACATTAAAACAAAAGTGGCAGGAGAAGGCAATTAAGATTAATAGCCCGCGCTGTCGATTGAGAATCACAAGGGAGAAGTAATTAGATTTTACAGGAGACACCACTCTCTAAAACAAGCCTCACAGCATGGGAGTCCCCGGTCCTGAGAGCCTTCGGTGATGTCTTTTTGCAAAGGCTTTTCTGGTGACATTCTCCTAGAGCTCCGTCATTAATGCCAGTCATTGATGGCGTCTGAAAGTGGCGTGTTCCTCATTGAGATTCATCAGATCTGCCATTTCTCTGCTGCCCCGCTCCTGCAGACAGACCTCCCATCACCACCGTGCTAGGCCAGTACTTTACCCAAACCAGCCTCCAGGGGCCCCACGTACAGGAGTTAGAGGATTGGAGGCATAATGAGAAAGGATAAGCGCTGAGCTAAAGCCCCCTGCGAGGACCCTTTCTTCCAGGCCGGGGAATTCTCTGCAGGCTGCCTCCTTTCTTGGCAAGAGTGGCTCAAGGAGAGGCCCCTATTCTCCTCCCACCTGACCCGCCACCAGCAGCGTCCACCGTTGCCCCTAGCTGGCCCCCTCCTCACCGGTACGCAGCTGTCCCCCGCGCGCAGACTCAAGGACCTGATCACCAACCCAAGAGGGGACCCCGCAGCCTGCCGTGCCTCTGCGCGCTGGTCAGCCCACCCTTCTCAAAAGTCGCAGCCCCAGTGACGCTCGCCTCCTGGAATCCACGCGCTAGGCAGGCAGAGGACGCGAAGACAGCAGCTGGCTGCACAGTGGAGGCCTAAACTGGGGCTGAAGCGCCACCTAGTGCGCGCGACACGCTCCCACGACGTCTCCACTGTGTAGCACGAATATCCATTAATAGAGACACTAGTCTGGGGCCGGGAGGATGAGGGAGGGTCGGATCTGCGAAAGCGTGCTAAAGAAGAGATCCAAGACTCAAACATTGGGCTACGGAGGCAGAGCTCTGCGTGCCTTGTAGTTTCTAGTGACTGTCGCACGCGCATCTCTCTGAAAGCCCAGGGCTCGAAGACTTCAATAATTAATAGTAATATTAAAATAGCCTATTCAATAACCACCAAGATACTGTACATTGAACACTTGTTCCCCAGGCCGCAGTCTCAGAGGGGGGCTCCTCCTCTGCCAGATCTGGCCGGCCTGGGCGGGGTCACTGGGCTGGGGCTGAATGGGTGTGTGCGGGGGGCGGAGACTTGATGCAATTAGGAGGAGAAATGCTCTGAAGCCGGGGTCAGCTACCCGCGGGCCCGGGGGACGAAACGTATATAAGACTGCGTGCCCGGAGCCTCCCCGCCGTCGGAGCAGTAGCGCTGCGCGCCCCGCGCCGCAAGCGCCCGGTTGCTTTAAGGGCTGTGCCTGCTCCGTGTCCGCAACTCAAGTCCCCGGCGCATCGCAGTCTCCGCGCCACCTTTGTAGCAGCCTTCACCACCCCGAGGTACAATGGCGAGAAAGTTGAACGGGCGTGCGGTGGCCCAAGCCCTGGTCCTGGCCACTCTGTGGCTGGCTGTGTCTGGGCGTCCCCTGGTCCAGCAATCCCAGTCTGTGTCGGATGAAGATCCACTCTTTCTCTACGGCTGGGGCAAGATTACCCGCCTGCAGTACCTGTACTCCGCTGGTCCCTACGTTTCCAACTGCTTCTTACACATCCGGAGCGACGGCTCTGTGGACTGCGAGGAGGACCAGAACGAACGAAGTAAGTACTCGCCGGCGGGTCCCCTCATGTCCCTTAGGACCCAGGAGCACGTGGGTGTGTCACCGTGACCTTAATATCCTCCCACCCCTGACTTCCAGGCTGGAGCTGGGGAAGGGCGAGGCAGTGTGGCCCCGCCGTACCCACGTGTTGCTGGGTCCCCGCAACTTCTTCCTTCTCTTGCTCGCAGATTTGTTGGAGTTCCGCGCGGTCGCTCTGAAGACGATTGCCATCAAGGACGTCAGCAGCGTGCGGTATCTGTGCATGAGCGCGGACGGCAAGATATACGGACTGGTAAGTGTTCCTCTACGCGGCGGGATGCTAGGGGCTGAGCTGGGTCAGTATTTTGTTTTTTTTTCCCCCTCCTGCTCAGGTCCAAAAGGAACTTTGAGGGCAAGGAACCAATGATAGTGGGGCTAATGTTACTACTTGCCCTCCCGGGGTAAAGTGATGGCCCCAGGCTATATCGGGGGAACCCGGAGGCCAGCGGAACTGTCTAATCCTTCCAAAGGCTGGGCTGGCTGCTGAGTCCCATTCAGCTTTCGGCCCCTTTTCATCTCCAGGCTTTGCAAGTGTGGTCCTCAATTTCCTCCCTCTCTCTCAAGTTGAAAAAAAAAAAAAGAAATGAAGGAAGTGTCTTTTCAATCAATGTCTGTCTTAGGTACACGGTGTGATATAAAAATTAGATACTTTAGAAAGTCTCCAAGATTCTCTGCTTGGAACCTGGGGGAATTGGGGTGAGGTGAGCTGGCCAGGTTCTCATAACCCCTGAAATCCGGAGACTTGAAGTATGTAGGCTAGTGCTCTGTAGGAACAGAGACTGACTGAGAGTTCAAAGAAGCCTTCAGCCCTACCTCTGGCAGTACCAGCGGAGGCTGTATGAGGTCCCTTGGCCAAGGCCTCCTATCTAGTCCTGGGCTCCTGGGAGAAGCTGGGACTCGGGGTAGAAGGTCCCCTTGTGGGGAAGGATGGCTACCAGACTCAATGTTTTTGTTGTTTTGGTTCTTTAAGAGTCTCAAAATTGTTTGTGGCTCTGAGTCGATTTATCTACATGAAAAGACCACAAAGAAAGGAAAGAGGTCTGCAGAGAAAGGAAGGGGCTGCCGAGGAGCCTGTTTACCAAAAGGGGGTCCACTGCCAGTCTGAAAGCTGACACCTCAGGCCCGAGCAAATCTCCTGCCACAGTGTTTTTCTGAAGTCTTTATTTGTGGGGAAGGTGCTGCGGAGGGGGTCGGACCCCCATTCTGCACTAATGTAAATAGTGTAGGAAGGCCCATGGCAGCTTTGCCCCCCAGTTCCAATGCTGGTCCTGGATCTGGTGGGCATAGGTCATCACAAACCCTCCTTTTGAAAAATAGAAGCCCCACAATCCATTGTTCCTATATGAAAAAAAGGGGTGACCAGTCGTCCATATGAATTCTCCAAGAGAAATACGTCCTGTGTTTATCTACAGTTCACTTTTTTCAGGGAACATGGCCCCTGTTGCCTGGTGGCTCTGTCCCAGTGCCATCAGCCAGGGCAGGAGCAATGGGTTCTTGGAATTAGCCTGTTATCAGAGCCTTATCTGCCAGCAGTCTTCCACCTGCAGTTCAGTGACCTCAGCATTCTTAGGCAGACACAGCCTGTGTTTATCGAGCCATATAAGCTCTCCAAGGGGATGTGGCACCAGTCTGGGAGACTGCCTGCCACTGGTACCTCAAGCTTGGGGACTAGAAATATTCCGGTACTGGGGATCGGGATCAGGGATAGCTTCCTACAGCACTCATTTCCGGCCACCCACAGGGTGTGGGCTTGGTCCGGGGCATGGGGGGGAGGAGCTGGGGATTATCAGGCGGATCCTGGCCATCTGCCTGTGAGGGGGCTTCTCTCCTCACAATGGTTGGAGACTCAACCACCTCAGCATTAGAAAAGCTTCCCCGTGCTGCAGGTCAAGACAGGAAGGATTGCTTTATCCCTGGCCCCAGGCAAGGCTGCAGTTACTATCCAGAAAATGTAATTTAACTAGGAGCAGTCTTTTAGAAGGCTGATTAGTAATGATCAGAATTTAATGTCACTCGTTAAGAGCCAGGAAGACTTACACACTGCCAGCTTCTGCATGGGTATTGCTCAGTCTAAGGTTGGGGTGGATAATTGGTACAAACTAGGCATGTTGGCACTTGGCAACCTTCTGGAAGCGGAAGCAGGATTATTGCTGAGAGCTGAGGGCCAAGTGAGACCCTGTCTCAAAAAACATGACTGGGCTGGGGAGGTGAGCTCAGCTGGTGGAGTGGTTTGCCTAGCACTCTCAAAGCCCTGGGCTCAACTGAGCCCATAACCCAGCTCAGTGGGCCTCACTTGTCATTCCAGCACTTGGGAGGTGGAGGCAGCAGGATCAGGAGTTCAAAGTCAGCATGGTTCAGGAGGTATCTTTAATCCCTGCACTCAGATGACAGATCTTTGAGTTCTAGGCCATCGAGTGCTACCTACGGTAAGAATCTGTCTCAAGAGAAAGTTGTTGGATACTTCTGGGATGAGCTAACAGTCTCGCGTAGTTCAGGTTGGTCTTCAATTCCAGATTTCTTGCCTCCACCTCTCACGTCGTGGGATGGTAGTTGAGCACAACCATGCCTGAATTTCTGTGTGCTTAAAGGCAGTTGATAGGAGAGCACACTGCTGGTTGCCCCTGGGCTGGGACACTGGTGCTTGCTCATGTGCACAGCTTCTTGTCTCTTTCTCCAAAGATTCGATACTCAGAGGAAGACTGTACCTTCAGGGAGGAAATGGACTGTTTGGGCTACAACCAGTACAGATCTATGAAACATCACCTCCAAATCATCTTCATCAAGGCCATGCCCAGAGAACAGCTCCAGGACCAGAAACCCTCAAATTTTATTCCCGTGTTTCACCGGTCCTTCTTTGAAACCGGGGACCAGTTGAAGTCTAAAATGTTCTCTCTGCCCCTGGAGAGCGAAAGCATGGACCCATTCAGGATGGTGGAGGACGTAGACCACCTGGTGAAGAGTCCCAGCTTCCAGAAATGATAGGGTTCTGACAGGATGGAGACAACCCCAAGATCCTGTGAACTTCCCCTTAGGAAGCTGTACATATTCTAAGTCTCGAGTGGACCCTGTCGTGTTAGTGGCTAGACTTGATCATGAACCTAAGTTGACAACCTGCCTGGCTGCCATCTGAGCCCCACTGACTTTGGAGGCTGCTGACATGTGCCTAGGTTACTCCAGTTCTGTTTGAGTATCTCCACTAATGGGGAACTTGCTCCTGTGAAACATTCTTAGCTTTGAGCCAAATCTGTGACTTGGACAGTTTTAGTAAGGCAGCCAGAAGCTATGAAGTCAAATGACAAAATTCCTGTATAGAAAGTAGGCTCTGATGTGTGTGTTCACTCTATGGACCTCACGGGATCTTAACGTGTCCCCCAGGTGTCTCCTGGCCAGAACTAATGGGGTCACAAACTTGGAACAAAGGACAGCCTAGAAGACTGTGGGAGCCTTGCAGGTTGGTTTTAGGATTAAGAATTCCAGCTGACCACGTAGCTTCCCCTTCCCCCCACTTATAAATGTCAGATGGAAGTGACCTCAGCCAGGCTCAGGAGTGGACTCCTCAGCTGAGTGCATAGCCAAGCTGCCACTTGTGCCCCAGGACTTATCTTGGTCCTGTGACTCCAGATTTCCAGGGCCTGGATCTGCTCCTCAGACCCTTACCAGAGTTCACCTGGGTTCTCCAACCCTAGAGCAGGTAGCTTATGGGCCATCCAGTTGTGTTCCTGACTCCTGGCTCTTAGCCCTGGTCACCAAACATTGTGAATCAATGTGTCTCTGCTGCCTGCATCAACCTGTACAAACAAGCAACAAGATTAGGACGCCCCAAATTCTGCAGTGGCAGCAAGGAAGCTGCGGAGTCCTTTCCCCAGCACTTACGTGGCAGCGTGATATTTATAATTTATTGTGTGTGCGTCTTCTATTTTCTTACTTTATTTATGCCCCGATCATATTTATGTACATGACTTGTTTTCTACATTAAAAAGGAGTTGGTTTGTATCAAAAGTTATTTGTTCTGTTCCAAGTGGGGTGCAGAGAGGAGGCACAGGAGGGGCCCACATGACTGGGGGCCTGGTGCCTTTGTTGACAATGGGTGGCTCCCTTTTTCTGGCTGTTTGGACCCCTCATACCCAACCTCCAGATGAGGCCAGGAGGATACAATAGCTTAAGTCAGAAAGCCCCACCCACCATCAGCTTTTGCCAGTTTGGGACTAGCTGATGGGAGTGAGGGTGCAGGAGGGCTTATTGAATATACACCCCCCTCCCCTTGTCTGGGTCTTTTTAGGACAAGGCTTCTCTATTATACAGCTCTGGCTGTCCTGAAATTCTAAGTAGTACTGAGATGGCCTCGAACTCTGAGATCTATCTGGCTTTGACTCCTTAGTGCTGTAATTAGTGGCATGCACCTCCAGGCCAGGTGTCACTTAAAGACAGTCTCTGTGTCCAGCATCAAGTGCAGAGGGAACCTGGCTTCATGCATGTGTCCTGATGCCTGTCCAGGCTGCCTCAACAGGAAAGTCAAAGCCTGCTTAAACTTGTTGGCAAATTCCTCTGCCATCTATCAACCAGGATTTTACCATGGGGCTAGCTAGCTAGCCATAGCCCCCACCCCCTCCTCAGCAGCAAGGCAGGCTGGGAAAACAAGTGTGACTGACACTGGTGCTGTGGTCAGATGGAACAAGGAAGCAGTGCAGAGTAATGGCGACGGGGCGATGTGGCCATGTGCCCTCAGCTGGTGGGTTCAAGAACAATGGTTGTCCAGCCTTCTGATTGCTGGAGGAGGGGTAGGAGCAGGGTGGCTCTGAGGGGGCAACTGAGGGTCTTTGCCAACCTTGGCTCCTAGTTACTGTGAGAGGAGCAGAGGTGAGTGTCTTCCCCAGAGGAAACAAAGAGCTCAGACGTTTAGCCTTTTATCTCTTTTGGATTAGGAACTGACTCTGGAAAAAGCTTCCAAGGACCAGAAAGGAGAGAGGGTGTGGGGGTGGGGAATGGCTGAATGGCCTGGGGAATTGGAGCCAGAGATGGAAATAGGCCTGGCCTGTGACACTGCTGAGGTAGGTATTTTGTCCTGGTCCCCATTTCCTGCCAGACAGCTTCTGAGGTCCTGGGAGTCTCAGAGAAGACGTGTCTTTTGGTATGCTAATGGTCTTGCTGAGCTGGAATCCCTCTTTCTGGATGAGCACCACCCACCTCGACTTCAGGGAGGCCCGAAGAACTGGTCTAAATTGCCAGAGCTGGTGATCTGACCCACCATACCTAGTCCACGAAGTTTCCATTAGCTCCTGTCTCAGAAAAGGTTCTGGTAGCCTCTGAACTTACAGCTCAGGTGGCACTCAGGAGGTCTGGGAAACACAGAACCTACTCTACACCCTGGCTCCCTGCATCTGCCTTTCTGTGTCCTTTACAGTCTGAGCCCGGGTCTAATCCCAGTCCTTGAGAGGCAGGTTCCAGCAGATCTCTGAGTTTGAGACTAGCTTGGTATGCATAGCGAGTTCCAGAACAGCCAGAGATATGTAGTGAGACTCTGTCTCCAAAACAAAACAAAAAGACCCAGTTTGTTGGTTAATACATCAAATTAGTGGAAGCCCAGGAAGAGGGGTGTTAGATGGGCACCGGAACTTGTAGTCAGCCGGACCGAAGCCGAGGAGGAATGGTGAGTTGGGGTGGGGAGTCGCACCAGCAGGGTCTATTGCTCCTTCCCCGGGCAGGCGTGGCAGAACTCAGGTGCAAGAGGGTGCCTGATAGTTACCTGGTAGAGATAGATGAGAGACCATGGAAGGGATCGGCACTGTAAACAGACAGTAGGGAAAACTGAGGGTATACTTTTTCTCCTGGATTCCCTTCCCCCACAGTGACGGCCATGTTGATAGGGGCGGGGCTCTGCTAGGGTGTAAGTAATCGTATTACGTGCTATGTCTTGATGCTATTTTGTTTTGCTTTTTGAGACAGTATTTCTATGTGCAGCCTGCCCTGGCTGTCCTGGAACTTGCTCTGTAAACCAGGCTGGCGTCAAAATCACAGAGATCTGCCTGCCTCTGTCTCTCAAGTGCTGGGGTTAAAGATGTGTGCCCCGGCTCCTCGGCAGCTTGATGTTTTTTTTATGGCCGTTTCTTTACAGAGGTTTTCCACATCTCCATTTGTTTTAAGGGATGTCATCATTGCTGGTTAAGGATTTCTGCTTGTGATTTTGTGTTTATTGTTTTTCTGAGACACGGTCTTCAGCCTCAGTCTCCTGGGATGACCGCTCTATGCCAGCAGGTAATTTTGTATCCTTCCCAGCGTCCTCCACCCCAACCCTCCCACAGTGCTCCCACTGAAGACAGTGTGAACCACAAGACAGGGTCTGCAGATACTGGTAATGGGCTGTGTTTGGTGTCCAGCTTGATAAAAAACAGCAGTAAAAAAAAAAATAGTTAGGCAGTGGCAGGCGGATTTCTGAGTTTTAGCCAGCCTGGTCTACAGAGTGAGTTCCAGGACAGCCAGGGCTACACAGAGAAACCCTGTCTCAAAAAAAACAAAACAAACAAAAAAAATAGTTTAAAAGTTTTTTTTTGAGGGAATGGAATGAAAATTGACAAACGGTCGCACTCTGTAACCCAAGGCAACCTGGGACTTACTGTGTAGCCAAGGACTGACTGCAATCTTCCTGCCTCATTCTCCAAAGCCGGGATTATCTGAGACATCATGTCTGGATTTAGACTTTTCTTCCCCCAAAAAGCAATTCATTTACTTTTATTTTATACATATGGGTGTTTTGCCTGCAGCAGACCACATGCATACCATGCAGGTGGAGGTCAGAAGAGGGCATCCCCTAGAGTTACAGATGGTTGAGAACCATTCTGCAGGCACTGGAAATTGAACTCAAGTCTCCTGAAAGAGCAGCAGGTGCTCTTAACCACTGAATCAAGTCTTCCTGGAGTTAAACTTTTTAAGTTGATGCTAGTGGTGAGACCCAGGGCCTTGGGCAATGGATGGAGTTCTTTTCAGACAGGGTCTGCCTCAGGTTGGCCTCCAACTCTCTGGAATGCTGGCTAGAAGTGTCTCTGTCCAGCTTCAGGAAATGTGCTCTGTAGAGAGTGAGTTCTATGGACATATGCTGGACGCTGTATGATGTTGTCAGTTTGGTGAGGAGGTAATGTTTTATGTCTAAAAAGAAAAAGCCCCAATCTCAGGGCTGCAGAGAGGGCTCATCTGTTTAGAGCACTGGTTGCCCTCGGAGAGGAGCCAAGTTCCATTCGCGGTACCCACAGAGCAGTTCTATGGGACCTGAGACCTCTGGCCCCCTTGAACACCTGCACACACATACATGTAATTAATAAAACACAAATCCAATAAGTAAATAATTTTGTGGTGGTGTAGAATGAACCCCCACACTAGGACCTCAAACACAAAAGGCAAGAGTTTTGCCACTGCTACAGTGTCCACCTAACAGAGCAAAATCTATATCTGTCAGCTATACACAGGTAAGTATTTCTGGCTGTGAACAAGAGAAGAGAGTATTCTCATCTGTCAGAGGTCTGAGGGGTAGAGGACTCAGACTCCACATGTACAACCCTGTCTATGAAGAACTGGAAAGGAAACCCAGACACAGTGGTGTGGGTTGTTTTTGTTTGGAGATAGGGTTTCACTGTGCAGCTCTGACTGTCCTGGAACTCACTTGTGTAGACCAGGCTGGCCTTGAATTCACAGAGATCCTCTTGTCTCTGCCTCCTAATGCTGGGATTATAGATGTGTGCCACCACATCTGGTGATGTGTAGGTTTTTGATGTTATAGTATGGGCTGGAGATGGGACTCAGAGCGTCACAAGCCTGTACGTGCTCATCACTGAGCTGACAGTTCCAGCTCCTGCCCCAGGCTTGCACTCCTCACACCTGCCTCCTGGAAGATGCTACAATGGCTGACTGCCCTGCATCTGCTGCCCACCACTGGTTTCTTATACGACACCATGTAGAGCAGAACCGTGAGACTTGTAGTTGATCCAGGAAGCATGAATGGCTGGGGAACAAACCTCGCCTCCTCTGTGGAGTCACAGAGGTTCAAGGCTAGCCTTTCATGATGGCTGGCCAGCCTCGTGGTTCCAGTCCCAAAGTGTGTCGCAAACAAGAAAGAATGGGTACAAAGATGTGTGTCATATATGCCACCCAGACCATTGCCAAAAGAAGGCATAACATGCAGAGCAGTCAGGAACGGGGCTCAGAGGTCGACTACAGCTGAGCAAGCGAAAGGCTCTGGGTTCCATGAGAGCATCTTGTAAAAAAGAAAAAGAGAGACAGAGGAAGGAAGGGGGAGAGAGAGAGACAGAGAGAGGAAGTAGTTGCCTTTGGGGATAAGAGAGGTGGAAGAACTCTTTTTTCTATAACCATCTTTTTATTTTTTTTTTTTCAAAAGGAGCTGGGGAGGGGGATGTTGCAGGGAAGGAGTAAACTGGAAATCATCATGTTAATGAAATAAGACAGACTCTGGTCAGCAAGAGGGCTCATTGAGTAAAGGGGCTTGCTACCAAGCCAGATGACTGAGGGATCCTTGTATCCCCCAGGGTAGAAAGAGAACTGATTCTTAAAAGTTGTCCTCTGACTTCTATATATGTGTATGTACACAAAATAAATAAATAAACTTTAAAAACAAAACCAGACTCAGAAAAGCAACCATTGTGTGTTTTCTCTCATACACAAAATCCAGATTTAAATCTGTGTATTCGGAGGGTGGTTGCTCTGGTAGAAGACCCAGTTTGGTTCCCAGCACCCTCGGAGTGACTCGTGACTGTAATTCCAATTCTAGGGGATCTTATAATCTCTTGGCCTCCTCAGGTACTGCATGTATGCAGCGCACATACAAACATGCAGGCAAAACATCTGTCCACACAATTACATTTCTTTAAATAAGAAAAAGAGTTTATGTATTTATAGTTATGTATATGTTGGTGTGCCTAGACAGGAGGTCAGGAGAGGAGAGGAAGAGATCTTAAATTAGGAGCAGAAGACCTGAAGAAAAACAGGAGGGGGTT